TTGACGTAGGCTTGTGTTGCTGTAAACTTCCCTCTTAGAACTGCTTTTGCTGCATCCCATTGGTTTTGGATCGTCGTGTTTTTGTTGTAATTTGTCTGTAGGTATTTTTTGATTTCGTTTTTGATTTCTTCAGTGATCTTTTGGTTTTTTAGTAGCATATTGTTTAGCCTCCATGTGTTTGTGTTTTTTTCGGGTTTTTCTCCGTAATTGATTTCTAATCTCATAGTATCATGGTCAGAAAAGATGCTTGATATGATTTCAGTTTTCTTAAATTTACCAAGGGTTGATTTGTGACCCAAGATGTGATCTGTCCTGGAGAATGTTCCATGTGCACTTCAGAAGAAAGTGTATTTTGCTGCTTTCGGATGGATTGTCCTACAGATATCAATTATGTCTATCTGGTTTAATGTGTCATATAAGGCTTGTGATTCCTTATTAATTTTCTTTCTGGATGATCTATCCGTTGGTGTAAGTGTAGTGTTGAAGTCCCTCACTATTGTGTTACTGTCGATTTCCACTTTTTTGGCTGTCAGCATTTGCCTTATGTATTGAAGTGCTTCTGTGTTGGATGTGTACATATTTACAATTGTTATATCTTCTTGGATTGATCCCTTTATCATTATGTAGTGTCCTTTGTTGTAACAGTCTTTATTTTAAAGTCTATTTTGTCTTATATGAGTATTGCTACTCCAGCTTTCTTTTGATTTCTATTTGCATGGAATATCTTTTTCCATCCCCTCACTTTCAGTCTGTATGTGTCCCTAGGTCTGAAATGGGTGTTTTGTGGGCAACATATATACAGACCTTGTTTTTAAATTCATTCAGCCGCTCTGTGTCTTTTGGTTGGAGCATTTAATCCATTTACATATAAAGTAATTATTGATATGTATGTTCCTGTTACCATTTTTTTAATTGTTTTGGGTTTGTTTTTTTAGGTCTTTTTCTTCTCTTGTGTTTCCTGCCTAGAGAAGTTCTTTTAGCATTTGTTGTAAAGTTGGTCTGGTGGTGCTGAATTCTCTTAGCTTTTGCTTGTCTGTAAAGCTTTTGATTTCTCTGTGAGATCTGAGTGAGAGCCTTGCTGGCTAGAGTAATCTTGTTTGTAGGTTTTTCCCTTTCATCGCTTAAATATGTCCTGCCACTCTCTTCTGGCCTGTAGAGTTTCTGCTGAAAGATCAGCTGATAACCTTGCATGGATTTCCTTGTATGTTATTTGTTGTTTTTCCCTTGCTGCTTTTAATATTTTTCTTTGTATTTAATTTTTGATAGTTTGATTAATATGTGTCTCAGCATGTTTCTCTTTGGGTTTATCCTGCCTGGACTCCCTGCACTTCCTGGACTTGATTGACTATTTCCTTTCCCATGTTAGGGAAGTTTTCGACAATAATCTCTTCACATTTTTTTCAGAACCCTTTCTCTTTCTATTCTTCCTCTGGGACCACTATAATTCAAATGTTGGTGCGTCTAGTGTTGTCCCAGTGGTCTCTGAGACTGTCTTCAATTCTTTCCATTCTTTTTTCTTTATTCTGCTCCTTGGCTGTTATTTCCACCATTCTATCTTCCAGGTCACTTATCCGTTCTTCTGCCTCAGTTATTCTGCTATTGATTCCTTCTATTTTGTTTTTTAATTTCAGTTATTGTGTTGTTCATCACTGTTTGTTTGTTCTTTAGTTCTTATAGGTCCCTGTTAAACATTTCTTGTATTTTCTCCATTTTATTTCCAAGATTTTGGGTCATCTTTACAATCATTACTCTGAATTCTTTTCATGTAGACTGCCTATTTCCTCTTCATTTGTTTGGTCTGGTGGGTTTTTACCTTGCTCCTTCATCTGCTGCGTATTTCTGTGTCTTCTCCTTTGTCTAACTTACTGTGTTTGAGGTTGCAGGGTCATAGTTCCTCTTGCTTCTGGTGTCTGCCCCCAGTGGGTGAGTTTGGTCCAGTGACTTGTTTAGGCTTCCTGGTGGGAAGGACTGGTGCCTGCATTTTGGTGGGTGGAGCTGGATCTTTTCTCTGTGATGGGCAGGGCTGTGTCAGGTGGTGTGTTTTGGGGTGTCTGTGGCCTTAGTACGACTTTAGGCAGCCTGTCTGCTGATGGTTGGGTTTGTGTTCCTGTCTTGTTTGTTGTTTGTCATGGGGTGTCCAGCAGTGGAGCCTGCAGGCAGTTGGGTGGAGTCGGGTCTTGGAGTTGAGATGGAGACTCCCGGGAGAGCTCTGGGGCCAGGAATTCTCTGGCATTCCAGTTTCCTGGACTCGGCACTCCCACCTCAGAGGCTCAGGCCGGACCCCCTGCCTGGAAACCAAGACCCCGCATGCCACACAGCTCAGCAAAAATGGGGGAAAAAAAGAAAAGAAAAAAGAAAGAAATAAAAGGGTAGGAAGAAAACAAATGAAAACAAACAGACATACAAAACTCGGGACAAATAGCAAAGAGAAAAACAAGCACGAAGCAACAGCAACAATTAAAAAGAAAGCAACAATTAAAAAGAAAGAAACAAAGGAAGAGACAAACAAAACCCCAAATGGTAAAAGTAAAACCAAACAGAAACAAAAATAATCACACACACACACACACACACGTACAAAATAAGAAACAAAAACATAAAACAGAGAAAATGAAAGAGAACAACCAGACCAACAAAAGAATCCCGAAACAAAATTAAACAATTAAAAGCAAAACTAACCAAAAAAACAAAAACAAAACAAAAGCAGAATGCAAACTGTTGTATACAAAACAAACACACAAAAACAATAAATAAAAGTTAAATAGCGCAAAGAAAAAAAAAAGCAAGTTAAGAACACAGGACAACAAAAAAGTAATGTAGAAATAGAAATATAAAAAATATAAATTTAAAAAACTAAATAAAAACAAATAATAAAAAATACAGGACAAAACAAAACATTAAAAAAATAGTAATAATTATATTTTCCTGGGGTCTCAACTGTCAGTGTCCTTGCCCTCACCTTGAGTCACAGCCAACCTCCACATCCCCAGGCCACCCTCCAAAACCTCTAGGTAGGTTTCTCGTCTCTCTCTGGGTACTGTGGGACAGCTAGGACTCAGACATGGCCCAACCCTTGGGTGTACTAGTCCCCAAAGTCCATAGCTGCTAGCACTAGACTGGTTTCTGTTTTGGGAACACTCGTCCATTCAGGTATTTCATAGATGCAGGGTTTACCAAGACGATCGCGGGGATTTAACGTGCAGTTTGTGTAGCTGCACGGAAAGATTTTTGTTCCTCTTCTTTAGTCGCCCCACCCCTGGGGCTCAGCTGTGGTTTTAGCCCCACCTTTGTGTGTGTGCCACCCACCAGAGTCTGCTTCCGAGGCTGCCTTGGAGCACTCAGGTCTGCTCTGGTGAGGACAGGGCGTGGAGGTGGCATGACTGCCTGGGTTGTGGGGGCCCTGGCAGCGACAGGTATGCAGGAAAACTGGTGGCTATGGGCATGAGAGATCTGGCCCTCGTGGGAGCCTTTCCTAGCGACTGGTGACCGGCACGAGAAGGTCAGTTCTGGCAGCTTTTCCTAGCACCTGTTGGGGCAGGGGTCAGTGCGTGGGGAGAGAGAGGCTGCCATGGTGGCTCCACCCACTGCACGTCATTCAACAGTGGTGCCTTGCTTCTATGGCAGTCTGGGTTTCCTTCATAAGTGTCCCGGTTGCTGATTTCCTCCCTCCCGTCCCCTCAGGCTGTCTCCTCGCAGCCAACAGCAGTCCTCCCCCCCGGGTTTGCTTTCTAATCCCCATGTTCCAGCTCTCAGCCCCCTTGTGCACCAGCAGACACACGTCCCAGTCTGGGGCATACAGGCCTGTGACACTGACCGTCTGTGTAGGTCTCACTGTGTCCTGTCTGCTACAGACCTGCCATTTCATCATCCTCTGACAGCCTCAGATGTTCTTCTTCTGTCCCAAGTGATTTCCCCGTCATTGAGGGGGCTTCCCCGGATGCGGGAACCTCTGTGCTTCAGCTCCCCCGAGGGGCACAGATCCTGTCCCACTTTTTCTCCTCTTATTTTTCCCTTCTTACTTTCGTCCTACCCGGTTATGCAGGGGTCTTTCTTGTCCTTTCTGGTGTCCGAGGTCTTCTGCTAGTGTTCAGCCGGTGTTTTCTGAGAATTGTTCCATCTGTAGATGTATTCTTGATGCTTTTGTGGAGAGAGATGAACTCCACGTCCTTCTACTCCTCCACCATCTTGGTTTCTCCTCGCTGTTGTTTTAATTTGCGCTTCTCTAATGATTTAATGATGTTGAACATGTTTTCATGTGTAAATAAGCATGACAAAAACGCCATCTGTAACAGTTTCTTTTGAAGAGCAGAAGATTTTACTTTTGCTGAGGTCCAATTTATCTGTTTTTTTCTTTTATGGTTAGTGCTTTTTGTGTTCTGAAAACTCTGGCACTCATTCATTTTGATCTCTCATTAAACGCTATGGTTCCTTTAAATAATTAAACTACTAGAGAGTAAATCCTAAGAGTTCTTACCACAAGGAAAAACACTTTTGTTTTCTATTCATTTAATTTTGTTTCTGTGTGAGATGATGGATGTTCACTAAAACTATTGTGATCATTTCATGATGTATGTAAGTCAGATAATTATGCTGCACACCTTAAACTTATAAGTGCTATATGTCAATTATATCTCAATAAAATTGTAAGAAGAAAATAAAATAGTTTATTAGTATGGGGAATACTTTGTCTGTACAGCCTTTGACTGATAATAGAATCACCTTCACACACCAGGATTTGACCATTTCCGAAGGGAGAGTAATTCTCATCCACTATAGCTGCACTTCTTTTTCCAGATATCTGTGATATGTGGACAACCACTTATTTCCAAGGCCTTTAAAAAAAAAATCATTTACTTTCCTTTTGTATTGGTGAAGTATAAAGGAAGAATATATTGTAAATCAGTTCCTCTGAAACTACACAATTACTGGTGCCCCTAGATCTTTAAGAAGGAACTTGTAACAAAGTTTAATTTTTGTTTTGTTTTGTTTTTCAGTGGTGGCATCGGCAAATTGATTTTCATACTACTTTCTTGAACCATTTGGCACGATTGGTGCCAGAAATTTATTTTGCTGAAATGGAACCAGACTTGGAAAAGCAGGAGGAGAATATACAAATGTCAGTAGTCACTCCACTGGAATGGTACTTATTTGGAGAAGATCCAGATATTTGCTTAGAGAAATTGAAGCACAGTGGAGCATTTCAACTCTGTGGGAAGGTTTTCAAAAGTGGAGAGACAACATACTCTTGTAGGTAAGATTTAGAAATGTACAGGATTGGTTATAATAACAACTTGGTGTTCTGTATGTATTTTATGATGTACCTTTCTTGGTATATTACTATTTATAATATATTTAATTCTACATAATTTACTTTGTTTTATTGTGCACTTATAAGTTTGTTTTTGGTAGTACAACTTGTTTCTGAATATATGACTTAAACAGTTCTTTCACTTTTTCTTCCTGTTCTCCAGAAGCAGAGATATATTTTTGCCTTGTTTGTAATATAGTCCATACACCCTTATCTGAAACTCTTGGTGCCACATGTATTTCAGAATTCTGAATACTTCCCTAGTGGAGTCAGGTCAGGATCCTGTAATCAAACAGAGCATTTCTGTAAGAAACCTATGACTGTTCACAGCAAGTGATATAAATAAAGTCTTTAGTCCCTTGTCATTTCAGGTCATTTTTTCGCCACCAAGTGAGATTTGGTATCAGACCTGTAGGAGCATTTGTAATTTAGTTGGATAGAAGAGGCCAGTGGTAAGAAAACTGCAAACAGCTTTAGGCTTTTTTTTTGCCTTTTGTGAGAGAGGTTGACTTAACACAGCATGGTAACACAGAGAACTTTTTTATTCTCTACTCCTGCCTGAAACTTTTAACTTTTAGACCTTAACAACACTTTGTTTTTTTTTCTTTCTTTTATTAGAGGTTGTTTAGGTTAGGAATGTGAAGTTTTAGATTTTATACAGAGAATTGTTTTTTGCTTCACTGTAATTCTAGGTTTGACTGGTTTATGTAGAGTTAACAGTTGTCTAGAACATACTGCTTTTCTTTATTCTCTTCTTTTCTCAGGAAACAGTCAGCTTTTGTATTTTATGTACTATTTTGCTATATGGCAGTCAGTTTCATCTATCTTGTTATATATTTTTAGCTGAAGCCTCGTCAGTTTCAGCTAAAGCATAGTAGATATTTGTAGACCTCATTTCTCCAAAAGGGTCATGGAGGCATTTTTAATTGTCACAGCTAGGGGAATGGTACTGGCATCTAGTGGGTAGAGGCCAGGGTTGCTGCTTAAACATCCTATGGCACACGGACAGTCACCTGTATCTCCAGCAAATAATTATTCAGTTCAAAATGTCAGTACTGCTGAGGTTGACAAATCCTGCTCTGAGTAGGTTAGTAGATGATATTAATTATATTTTAGAGGCTATTATTAGTCAGTTTTTACTTATTAGCCTTTAAAAATTCATTTTTAAAACTGCCCAATTCCATCTCTTCAACTTTTCTAAATAAATATTTTAAAAATTAATTTTGCACTTATTTATATTACTGTTAATGTTTCCTTGAAAGTATTAAATAAAATTTTACATTTTAGAAGTTTTTATTAGGGAAGAGATTAAGAGAGATTGACAGTCAATATTCATTGAATACCTGTTTTGTGCCAGGCACTGATCTACGTGCTTGGGACATATCATTATATAAAATAAATTAAAATCCTTTAATTTATGTTGCTTACATTCTAATGAATTTTGTCTTTAACCAAGCCTCATTTACCAGTGAACAATCAGTGTCTCTAAAATACATTCATAACTGTAATAGTATAAGAAGATGCAGAGAATGAAAAAAAGCTGATGATTTTTCAGAAAACTAATTTTGGTATATGTGCTACCAAATGGAGCACCAGAAAACTAATTTTTTTTTGAATTTTATTTATTTTTTATATACCAGGTTCTTATTAGTTATCTATTTTATACATATTAGTGTATATATGTCAATCCCAATCACCCAATTCATCACACCACCCCTACCACCCCCCACTTTCCCCCCTTTGTGTCCATATGTTTGTTCTCTACATCTGTGCCTCTATTTCTGCCTTGCAAACCTGTTCATCTGTACCATTTTTTAGATTCCACATATATGCGTTAATATACGATATTTGTTTTTCTCTTTCTGACTTACTTCAATGTGTATGACAGTCTCTAGGTCCATCCGTGTCTCTACAAATGACCCAATTTCATTCCTTTTTATGGCTGAGTAATATTCCACTGTGTATATGTATCACGTCTTTATCCATTCGTCTGTCGATGGGCATTTAGGTTGCTTCCATGACCTGGCTATTGTAAATAGTGCTTCAGTGAACATTGGGGTGCACATGTCTTTTCGACTTTAAAGTCTTTATTGAATTTGTTACAATACTGCTTCTGTTTTATGTATTGGTTTTTTGGCCACAAGGCATGTGGGAATCTTAGCTCCCCGATCAGGGATTGAACCCACACCCCATGCCTTGGAAGGTGAAATCTTAACCACTGGACTGCCAGGGAAGTCCCTGGGATTCAGTTTTTAAAGTATTTTCAAAATCAGTTTGTGTATGATATAGGAAATTCATTCACATTATTTTATAGTCATACCTTGAGCATCAGCAGTAGTCATGTAAATTTTGGAGTCTGATTTTTAATCTTTTTCAGGGACTGTGCAATTGATCCAACATGTGTACTCTGTATGGACTGCTTCCAGAATAGTGTTCATAAAAATCATCGTTACAAGGTATGAAAATAGATGCATAAAATCTCTAGATTGGCAGGAGTCTGATGGCCAGCTAGTCCAAATTCCTGACTAGTACTTGAGTTCCTGCTGTAACAGACCTGATTTGTGAACCTTTAGCTCTGGTTAGACATATCATGTGATAAGACATCTACTACTTCAAGATGCAGCTCCTTACAATTTTTTAATTTTTGAGATACATCATTTTTATGCAGAAGATTGTATAAAGCATATGAACAGCTTAAAGAATAACTATAAAGTGAACACCTGTGTAACCACTACTTAGGTCAAGAAATGAGACATTTCCAGCTCTCAGGGGCCTCCCATTTGTTCCTTCTGGATCACCATCCTTCTCTCCTCCTTTGTGATAATCTCTCTCTCCTGTGTTTTGTGATAATGGTTTCCTTGATTTCCCTTTTAGCTTATCACCCAAATCATATTGAATGGTTCTGTTTTTGAATTCTGTACAGATGGAGTCATTCTGTATCTTTTTCTTGTTGAGTAGCTTTCACTCAGCATTAAGTATATATTTATATATATACGCATATATATATTTTGTCCATTTACCTTATAGGGTTTAATAATCCATATTGTCTTTATTCATTGTACTGTATATAGATATGTAGATTGTTTCCAATTTGGGACTATTATTGTATTAAAACAATTCTGCTGTGAACATTCTTATTTGTGTATTTTGGTACACATGTACAGGAGTTTATCCAGGGTATATATCTGGAATAGAATTGCTGAGTTCTAGGGTATATCTTAAGTCATAGTAGATAGTGTTTTCCAAAGTGGTTATACCAACACACACTTACAAGATTTGGTGTTGCTAGTCTTTTTAATTTTAGCCAGTTTGGTGGGTATATAATGGTATCACATTGTGGTCTTAGTTTAATTTTCTTAATTAGTAGTGAGGTTGAGGGATTTGCCTTTCCTGTGACATCTTCAGACAACTTTGTTATTTTGAGCTGAAATGCATTTTTCAAATAACAGTATTGGTTCTGTGCTCTGGGCTTGGGCAGATATAATATTTGATGTTTCTCTTTGTACATATAATATGCCGAAGGTCCCATGTAAATGTAAATAACATCTTAAAGTTATGTAGACTATTTCTTCCGTAGAGCTGAAAGCGTGGTTCATGATTTTAGACTGGCTTCAACATTAGTGCTTCTATCTCAGGAAATGATAAGCTATAGATATATGTTATATATATATATATATATATATGTATTTTTATTATTGTGCAAAAGAAAAAACATGAGGAGCCTATCATATAGTGTGGTTAAAATGTTTTCCTAACATTGCAAACTAATCACTGATGGAATTTACAAAATTGATCATTGGTTAATTTCATATTTCCCAGTCATCTCAATTTATTATAGTTTTTTCCTTATGTTGAAGAACTCAAGAAAGAATGCCAGAAGTAGAGACAAGGAGGAAGTTGTTAATTTCTTCTTATTTTTACTCTGGGATATTAAGGGGGAGAGATGCTGAAGTCTCAAGGCCAGAGTTTTCCAGTTGCCAAACTTTGGGATTTTGTGGTCCAGTACAATTTCAGAAGACTTTGGGTAAGACATAGGGTTTTCAAATTTTTATTTGGCTAGGGAAGTTCAATTTTAATTTTAAAAAGGGCACATGAACAGCAACCAAAAAATACCTACCATCTCCTATCATTTTATGAAGAAAAAGAAAATTTAATTCCAAGAAAGTAGGATAATCTCAGACTAAAGAGCAGGTCTTTAGATTGCATACATGTAGCTCTGTTAAAGAGCTCATCACATTCCTTATTCCTTCCTTTTCTGATTTTCCGTGGACTGGTAAAACTTGTCTGTTAAATTTTAGGAACCTCTTCACTAAGCTGCCTTCGAGTATTGAAAGCTTACCAGTCTACACTGCCACCACAAAGCACTCTTTTATGAAGCATGCTTAGGTTTATCATCTTTAGGTTTTTGCAGAGCTCTTATAGAAGGTGCGTACACAGCTTACTCAGGAACCTTTGAGTTTTCAGAAGGATGGGCTATTGTGTAACTAATAAAAAATTATGTTCATAAGCTTTTAAAGATATCACCCTTCAAAAGTGAGTGTGAAGAGAACAGAAGACTTTTGGTGGGAGAATAAGTTGATAGAATCTTTCTGGAATACCTATTATGTGTGGTGAAATTTTTAAAGAAAAGTGAGGGAATGACTAATAAATACAATTCAAGTAATAGTAACCTCCAGGGCAAGTGGATGATCACAGAGGGAACATCAACAGTATTAATATTCTTTTGTGTTAGATGCTGGATCATTTTATTATTATATTTTGTAACTTGCCTATACATTGTGTGTATTCTTTTTATAATAAAAAAACATAACAAAAGAATAAATGAAGCCATTAAAAAAAAGATTAGAAGAAATAAGAAGGGATTCGTGTTGCTGCAGAGAAGGGGAAGAAAAGAATAATGATGGGGATGCAGACCCAAGATCAGGTACTATGTGAAGAAAGCACCAAGAAAAACCTTTTGTCACAGAATAGCACAGAACAACTTTTGCAGTCCCCGGCACCACAGAGGAAGTGGGGCTGCTGCACAGAGATGGCATGGCAACTCTGTCCAGACCTGCTCCACCATGTCCAAGTTTTCCTTTAAAGTCACACTGCTGGCTGCCTTATGGAGTACCCAGTGTTCCCAAAAGTACACCTTTCACAGCAGTCTTAAAGTCTGCAGCAGAAGAATGTAAAGTTCCTGCAGTGACATGTGCAGTTATTACCAACGATGAAATAGGAATAAATCCTGCACTGCTGGAAATGTTCTTCTGAAGCATGGTTCAGAACTGCGAATTAGGGAGTTCTCTGGTGCTCTAGCATTAGGACTCAGTGCTTTCACTGCCATGGCCCGGGTTCAGTCCCTGGTTTGGGAACTGAGATCCTGCAAGCCACACAGTGTGGCCAAAAAAAGAACTTTGAATTATTCTTAGAGATCGTGTTGGAAGTTCTGCTACTTGGAACATACGATTACCTTTCAGAATAAATATTGGTATTGTTGTTGTAAAATTGAAATCAGGCATTTAAAATACTGTGAAAACACCAATAGTTGATGAAATAATGAAAGGTGACTCTCCATCCCTTCTTGTTATTCACACTCTTTATGTGAAGAGGGACTGCTTCTGCGTTGTGGGTGCTATCACCACAGAAGATCATAGTTCTATCATTGCTACCTCACAACACACACAGGTGTTTCATTTGGGGTAAATGGATTACCCAACTGTGTTTTATAACTGGAGGATGCTTCTGATAATTCTTTCTGAGAACATTTGGAAAATTAAAATTTATTGAGTCTTCCTATTTGTCTTTGAGTTAAACATTTAAAAAGGATTGCTGTTTGCTTGATAGCACCTGACTTGCAGACACAAAAATAGTTCGTCTTGATTATATATTGTTTATGATAAAAAATCATATCAATGAATACTTAACTATCTTAACTTTTTATTGTTTTTTTTTAAATTATATTTTTGGCTGCATTGGGTCTTTGTTGCTGTGCATGGGCTTTCTCTAGTTGCAGTGAGTGGGGGCTACTCTTTGTTGTGGTGCACGGGCTTCTTATTGCAGTGGCTTCTCTTGTTGCGGAGCACAGGCTCTAGGTGCGCAGGCTTCAGTAGTTGTGGCTCGCAGGCTCTAGAGCACAGGCTCAGTAGTTGTGGTGCGTGGGCTTAGTTGCTCTGCGGCATGTGGGATCTTCCTGGCCCAGGGCTCGAACCCATGTCCCCTGCATTAGCAGGCGGATTCTTAACCACTGCGCCACCAGGGAAGCCCTGTTTAGGTTGTTTTTAAGTGTCAAACTTCATGTGTTCATATAAATTTTAATTTAATACCAAAGAGCCAAAAATTGAATTTTCCCTTATGTGTAAAACTTATATCCCATTCCAAAGAGTTTTCTCTGTGATCTTGCACAATCCAAGATGAGAATTGAAAGTAAAGTAGAGGCATAAAAAACAAAAAACAAAACAAAAACCTTTTGAGAACAGGAAAATAACAAAGATAAAAATTGGAGCTTTTTGTTCTGCTGTGTGTAATGTGACCCTTCTTTGTGATATCCAGCTTTTCAGTAGTTTATCCCTTAAAAATACAGTAAGATAAATAAGGTCTGAGGATCTAATGTATTTAACATGGTGACTATAGTTGATGACACTGTATTATTGTATGATTGAAATTTGCTTAGAGACTAGAACTTAAACATTCTTACATACACACAAAAAGGTAACCATGAAAAAAAAGAGAATATACTGAAGTACTACTATCTTTAAAAAAACTTTCAGTAAACCTCTGCATTTTTATCCTCAAAATAAACAAAAACACCCACTGTTAAAGATTATTATTATTATTTTTTTGGCTGCACCACGTGGTATGTGGGATCTTAGTTCCCCAACCAGGGATCGAATCTGTGCCCCCTGCAATGGAAACATGGAGTCTTAAACACTGTACTGCCAGGGAAGTCCCAAAGATTATTTTTAACTCCATAAACGTTTCCTTTTTGTTGTTAAATGAGAATAGTGAGTTACAAAAATAGTATTTTCATACAGCTGTTTCCTCTAATCAGATAAAAACAGTTTTCAAATGAAGCTTACAGAGTTGTAAAAGAAAGAATAAAATTCTCATGTTATACTTTTAAATGGAAAAAGCACAATATGTAAAATTATGCATTCAATTTTTGGATTCAATTTTGCATTCAATTATGTTTCTTTTAGAACTTATTGGGTATATAATATTAAACCATAATATATTTTAACGGCTTACCTATTGGAGAATTTATTCAGGTTTCAGTTTTTTTTAATAGTAAGCAATATTGCTATAAATATCTTTATATGTAAATCATTTTTCTATATGTAAGATTATTTTTTAGGATAGGTTCTCAGAAGTGGAATTACTGGATTAAAAAATAGAGACCTTTCAGAGAATAAAAAGACAAGCCACAGACTGGGTGGAAGGCTTTGCAAAACATGTATCTGATAAAGGATTGTTATCT